TATCCCCTGTGTGCCTTGTCGACTCTGTAAAAAAATAGGGGATGCCATTTAAAAAAATTGAGGTGACTTTCATGTGACTTTCAAATAATTCTTCAAGGTCAAACCAATGGTACCATCTTATGGTATCTTCGAAACCAAACAACTTTTGTCTGCAAAATTTTTCTCTCCCGGGCTTGATTTTCGAGATATTCGACTGGATGGATTAAAATGGTCCACCCTGTATATTCATTTTGTGATAGTCACTGAAAATAATATTTCAGAAGTTGCTGAAATTTGAATACAGAAAAAAAATCGAAAATCGTAAAACGAAAATAATGTCCGACCGGCAATAAAGTAAACTAATGAAGTGGACTTTTTTCCACTTTTTTTTCAACAGCGAAAATAGAAATGGAAATACTTTCTGCAAGGCTTGTATTTCGTGGGTGCATGTAAACGCCAAAGCTTTTTTTCAAAATAGAGTCAAATTTCCGAAATAACGAAATAGCACTTGCGCACGAGAGGACCCGTGCTCTGTTCTCCTTTGATGATCTGAAACCGAAATAATAGACAGTTGAATCGACAACCTGTTGAAAGGCACTTTGTAAACGCGTGCATAAAAAAAAGACTTCTAGCAAAAAAGCAACTTTTCATTCACGATAACGGCAGTTGTTACTTGTACTTGAAATGCACACAATTCAACAACTGTGGCTGCGTACGAAAAGCAGAAAGTGCAACATTTACGAAAATGAGCGGGGAAGAAAAGTGAGTCCCCCGTACACTTACGGCGTTGATCATTACGAGAAGGTGTACCAGATAAGTTTCTTGTAAAAATAGGTAGGATAGACCGGCAACAAAAGCCCATTTCAACATTTTTTGCATTTAAAATCTCATAACAATTTAAAAAAATATTTACGTAAAAAACGCCTTTAGATATAGAATTTATTTGGCTATAAAATTTTCTTGTGTAATGTGTGAATTCTGTAATGTAACTGGAAAAAAAATTATTATTGTTTAAACAATATGAGGATTACTGTTACAATCGTCTCGATTTCTGGAACAATTGTAACAGTAAAGGGAAACGATTGTATCACATTATTTATGAGTAAAATAATAGTTATTTATTAGCTATCTTTTCATTTAAACAAATAATATTGTTCTTAACTTGAAGATTATTTAATCACAATCATATATAATATTTGAGAAATTAACTGTAACTTTTTTTTCTATTATCTAATTTATAATGATATTTATTTTTATATTCTATTACCTAATTAAATTAGATAATAGAATAGAATTAAATAAATACAAAAATGGCTCTTTCTTATAATAATTAATATAAAATATTAAATTAGGAACCACGCATAAAAATCTACCTATTTTCTTAATTGCTTTTTACGGTAATGTCTACGCATTGTAACATTACAGTTTACACAATCGTCCTCAGACATTGATATTACTAACATTATTGTCCTCTAATGATATTTTATGATTCGTATAGTAAATTTTTTAATATATATCTAGATAAAATTCATACTATGCGAACTATCAACACATCACTAAAACACATTAAAATAATATATTGTACCTTCGCCATAAAGAAAGAAAAATATTTCAGATTTTATGTACGCAATAAAATTTACTCGAGGAGTGAAAAAAGTAAAATTTCATGTACGTTTCTCAAGGACCGGCAGAGAGTTAAGGAACAAATACCCACTTAAATGTATAATATAGCGTGTCCTGCATCGTGGTCACACACACATATCTATAATTATAGTTTTTAAAATGTTCACGAGATGTTACATCTATATCCTGTTACTCTTGTCCCCGGTTTACAAATTGAAAGTTAGGCAAGAGAACGAAGGGAAAAATTTGCGTAATGATATTCAAACATTACGTGCTAAATTCAACTATTTACTCTAATTAATACGTGCCGTACATGTATACTGCAACTTATAGTATACCACACGTAATAAGATCTCTACAGTATAACTAATATTTATTAAAAAAATAGGCTAATAAAGATAAAATTACGCTTACTGATATCGTTGCCATAACATTTGATGTCATGTGCATTTATTGCCGGCGCGCGGTTAAATTCGTTAAGC